ACTCTGTAACCCATTGACATTAATAAAACGAGTTGATCTAGAACACAACACTGCCATTGATCATATAAAACATCGAAACTCCCACGTGCAATATTTCCAGAGCATCCGGTATGGAAAATGTATTACAAAAATTTAAACTCATTGTTTGGGATGAGGGCACCATGGCACATAAAAAATCGCTTGAGGTTCTTGATCGATTGTTGCGAAATTTGCGTGGAAACGTTCAACCATTCGAGAATGCATTGATATTGCTCACAGGAGATTTTACGCAAACATTGTGTGTAGTTTCTCGATTAAAAGCGCGGTTACCCACGGACGTAAAAACGGAGAACGTGTCAGCTGACACGATCTATCTTATGGGATCTGCGTGTTAACAAAAACTCACCACCGCATGACCGTGACGTAGACGTTGCTTCTCTCTCTTTCTATCAACAGCATACTTGATATCTTTCTACGTACTTCTACGCTACGCTACGTACACGTTTGCGGGTAACCGCGCTCTAACACTAGCGGACGAGATAAATGTTTGCCTGAAATAGTCAACATTGCGACAAGACGAACATACATACACTGCAGCCGAAGTATTCTCGCTACAATTACTGGATACTGGGAACGGAAAGCTGCCAGTCAATGAGAGATTAAGAGGAGTTTTATGGCCTGATAATTTTTGTAACTTCAAAACATTGAAAGGAGAACTGATCGAAAGAATGTTTCTTTATTAAGAAAATTAATTATAGGAATCACGATTGGCTCAGTGAACGGGCTATTCTTGCTGCGAAGAATAAGGATGTCTATCAACTAAATAATAGTGGTATTGACAACAGTCATTGCTTGAGCTCCTGCTCTTTTACCAGACTGCCAGGCCACTTGTTCACTTTGGTGAATACCACTAGTGTTATTCAATCCAGCATTCAACGTGAGGAAATAGCATATACGTCGATAAACAACGTTGTGGAAAAAGACGATCCAACCGAACTTTTTAACTCGATTGATCTTCTAGGGAGACCGCACACACTGAAATTGAAAATAGGTGTGACAATTATCATGTTGCGGAATATTAATTAGCCAAAACTTTGCAACGGCACTCGACTCGCATTTATGAAATTGATGAAAAAAGTAGTGTAAGTAAAGATTTTAAGGTGACCTTTTAAAGGTGAAGAGTTCCCATGATTCCGAGTGATACATCATTTTAATTTAGAAGATTGGAATTTCCGATTCGACTGGCATTCGGAATCAATGCTCCAGGTCGAACTTTGGAAAAGTCTGGTTTAGATTTATATGCGGATTGCTTCTCAGATGTTGTGTGTTCCTGTGTCGGCAAACCAGACATCCTTGATATCTATGTAGAGAATGGAAAAACAACAAATATTGTGTGCGCACAAATACTTATTACATAACCAAACACATATGAAACGTATGCTTTGTTTCGTTAATAATTTATTATCTATATAACAGGAATATGTCACAGCAAAGCGTGGCAGGGTACAGCTAGTAAATAATAAAATTGGTGTTTAATAAACTAAAACCTCCCTATTATAATTGCCATTCGTACTGTCATCAGGTATGTAACTTGAGAATAGAAAACGCTGCGTCTTTTAGGTGCATCAATATTACATAGTTACATCCCGAGCTAATAAAAGGAAGGTAAAACAACCATCATGAGCTTTTGCATCCGGCTGTTTTAAATTTAAACTCTGCAGCACATATTGGAAAGCCTCTTAGGTTAGTCGAAACCGTTTCAAAAATCTGCAATAAAACGTTTGTTAATTGATTTGAAAAACGTATTTCCTTATACTCTTACGCTGAGTTCGACAAAGCCAAAGCTCACTTTCAGTGGAGCTAAAAAAATAACAAATTCATATCCGTTTTTAAATTATGTTTATTTCTCACGCAATTTTTTAATGTTTTGGCAGTTCCGCAATTATTGTGACCTAAAAATACGATCCAAAGCATCGTGGAACTTAAAAACTATTGTGAACTAAAAGTAAATTACCATGCGTTCGCTTTCGTATGCAATAATCCCATTTCGCTTATACGATTGACGTATCACGTAATTTTCTTTCATATCGTTTTGCGATCCGTGAATGGATGTTACGATTTGAGCCCTGCTTGCCAATTTTCATGCAATTTCGAATACAAATTGCATTGAGCAACCATCATATCAAGGGGCGAATTCGCCACTAGGCAAGTTTGTTTGCGACAATCAGAAACAACGTATACAGCCAAAAATTTATTCATCAGTTCGTTTTCATATATAATGTAATTTATATATTCCAAGAAAAGGCTATACTTCATAAGATATTCTTTTGTTCCCAATAATCTGTATGTAAAAATGCTTTTTTTAGAATTGATTGTTGTTGACAAGAATTTAATAAAAAGACTATTACAAACTATTAGTTCTGGATTTGAAATTAACGTGGGCAAATTTAATACTTTTTGTTTAGAGACAGCACATATGTACACAAAATTGTTCCGGTATCCCATGTCAACCGCACTGCATAAGATTTTGATTCACGGTGGGAAAATAGTTAAGGAAGCTTTGCTTCCCATTGGGC